CTGAAGAATAGTTTACCCGCTTCTTTCCAAAGGACCAAATTAAACTAATCCACTTACAAACACAAGTRCAGATAATAGAACTAAATGTAGTTCTTATCTAGCAGACAGGCAGTCTCAGCCTGAGAAATATTTATCTGTCTTGATATTGTCTGACCAATCCCACTGAAAAGACCAGACGTCTGGCAAGCTGCAGAGTTAGAGGACCAATCAAACAAATCAAGCYTGAATGATGCAGATAAGCTACAACTAAACAAAACAGAAGGTAAAAGGTGTTTCAACCTGGAAAATAATGACCTGTTTGAAGAACATGGAACTGAAGGTACTGATAAAAATAACACTGAGAGCAAGGAGGGTCTGGTATTCCCACCAGACCAAATCCAGTAGGGTCAGTACACAAGACAGTGCTGATTGCTGAGTCAGCATGTGGCTATTTGCAGGCTCTACCTCAGTGCATTCATTTCAGATTACTTGTCCTGCYTCAGTTTTTGATATAAGGAGTTAAYCACAGCTGAAACAGAACTTGCACRCTTCCCTTACATGTCCTTCCTGTACTAAGGAGCATGCAGCAACTGAGATTCCTGTACCAAATCATTTTGATTTGTTGCCCATGCTTCTGGCAAAACTATCAGTTTCTTGTCTCACCTTGCTATTCTAATTCTACCACACTACTGTCAGCCACACTGTGAAGACCTGCTCAGCCAGAAGACTTTTCCTTGCTATCTGGATCTCCAGTTGCATAGTAGGAGGTTGTAATGTCTGCTGTGGGGTATAGGTYCTGTTCCATCTCMCTGTCACACCWGTTTACTTCGCCAGAAACATCTGARCATGTAACATGGGAYAGGGAGTTACACAATTCCCAACCAACTGTAGCCAGMCAGGACTATATTACAATGTGGCATATTTACTCTGGTGTCTGGATGAAGATTACAGGTGAAATTATATTACTTTATCTGAGATAAAATAATTTTCGTATTTTCCAGATTGTGTTAAGCAACTGAAGGAACTCCTCAATGAGAACRGGAAGGTTTTGGAGTAGTCCTGAGGTAGATGTAGAAATACTAAATAACTTGTTTACTGCTGGAACAGGAGGCAAAGTAGCTACACTGATTAAAATTGCAAAGCAGCACAATGAGAACTTGGCATCCTGTGCTACCCCACATGTCACAGAAAATGTGTTCCTCAATATAAGTTTTACAAAGGACCAATAGCTCAGAAAGGACTGAGAAATATTTCCCTTTGAGGGAAATACAACAATAAATTGAGACTTCAGGCTCACAAATATATACAATTTATGTATACAACTCACTCGTAAATTCCTGCACCAAACAATGAAAAGTGTTTCCAGGTCTTAAATGCATTAAGTTGCAGGAGGATCAGAAAAAGTTTGATTAAAAAAATTCAGGCCAAAGAATCAAGACTTGCTGAGTCACCAAAGTTAACTTTCCAAGGCAAATTTCAGCTACATGTCCTGAAACTAGCCATCACCAATGTGGAAAAAAAACACACCCAAAACAACCTRCTAAAAAATAAACAGACACTGAGCCACATTCACTGGTTTTGCTCTGTGAAAATCAATAGAGCTAAAGTGAATGTAAAGACAGTCCATTGTATTAAGAGCTAAATTCCAYAGCAATAATGAAACACTGAACCTGGGTTTGATTGAGAGATGACACATTGCATTGCACAGGGGGACATACAGGGACAGAGGTTCTGCCTGGGTAATGAGCTGCCAAAGTTTGTACCAGCTGAAGATCTATTCCAAATGTTTAAAGGAAGTGGTTTCATTACTAAATCCAATTATTGGGATTGTGTGCTTTGCAGCTTTTTTCACTAGGTTCCAGTTTCTCCTGCCAAGCTAGGAAGCTATGTTATGAGCAGCTGGTACTCCAGGACTAACAACTCCACCACAAATTTATCCTCTAATACTCAGGCTTCCGATGTCTCTGTTTGCAATACAGAACCACAAGTTCCTGGCCCATGCCTACAGAGACTTACCCAGCTTCACAAAACAAGCTTTGTTACAAAAGGATTTACATTGGTGTCCTTGGAAGCAACAGATGGTCAGGATGAGTTGCTGCCATCAGCATTTTTCCTTGAGTCTGAAATTATTTGCATAGTCCCCCCAACAGCAGAGGCGTTTTCTCAGTTTAAAAATGAAAGCACATCAGTTAAAAGATGGCACAAAACAAGTGAAGCAGGAGTGTCTTTTAAAGACACTAAAATGGGCTGGATTTTGTGCTTATATAAAAGCAAAAAATACTATCTCAATCTGATGTATGAATTAAGTGTTCTACCTTATCAACAGGAAATATGAACACATTTCCTACAATTATTTCCTCTTGCAAATCACTCCCTGTAGGTCTCAAAGGAAACAACAGATGCACCCAAAACAAGTTTTCCTTTCTTTGCTGACYGTTCAAAGAAAATGCAAAACTTGTTTTTGTTTCTTAGCACCTCACTATCTAGACAAAACTTCTTGCTCAGCAAATCTGAAGTACTTTACTGGATGCAGTCATTATCTTTACCTATCAAGTGGGGTATTGAGAAGAAAAGCAAGGACAGCTTCAAAGTTGTACCCGGGCCTTGTAAGGCACTGCTAAGCCACCCCCACAACACAAACCCAGCAAACCTATTAACCTGAAACAGGGTCTCAGTACTTTGAATGGCATCTTACACCATGGGTATAGAAAGGGGAAATTTTGTTAAAGATGTATGAGCGTTTAACTGAGAAAGCATTCGCACTTGTGGAAAGTTTTCCATCTGATTCAGGTACTGCCATTTATGTTTCTTGTGTAYGTCCAAGATCCATGATCTTGGTCCTGTGATAGGCACTCGGTTCCCTCCAACAATTTGAGCTGAAGGGTTGGCTGTTGGTATGCATTGCTGGCTCATGTGTTACCTTATGTTGTTTTTAATTGCAACTATTCCTGCCTAGAATGACATGCTTGTATCAACACAAAACAGGCTTGGTGCAAGACTCACAATGGAATTTGAAACACTCTGTAGCGCAAAAACATTGGAATACATGAGCTTGGTTTCAAATCCTTCCAGGCAGATGCTTTCTGAGAAGCCTGCATCTGGTTTTCTAATCCCCCTGAAGTCTGAGTGTTCAGATCAAGCTTTACATCAAGTCCCTGCCCTAACAAGCAGGGCCAAGTTGAACAAAGTTGTATTTGCCAACATATCCCCACAGAGAATGGTGCACGTCTGCTGCAAAAKGCTGGTTTTCCAAAGCTGGAGGGGGTAGTGTCAATTTTAATCTTAAATGGAAGCTGAAAACAAATCTTTAAGGTTTACAGTCATTTAAAATACAAACAGCTTTGCAAGGCAGCCATTCAGTACAATTTCTCCTCAAATAATAAGGCCTTTGAGACAGAAAAGACTAATTGCAATTAAAGGTACAGGGCAAAAAAGCACTTTGATTTATAAAGTGCATGGAAAATGGCTTGAAGATTCAGGACTGATGGAATTTTAGAACTGTACAGGAAGAAAAATCATCCTAATCGGTGTTATAAAGACTTTTTGGTTACCCTTTTAGAACAATTCCACAAAAGATGGGTTTGCTTCCACAGAATTCTATTAGTTTCATCTTTATTGAATACGGTGGGATATCTCCCACAAGCATAGTAAAAAAAAATATATTAAGCCTGAAGTCAAGTGATGTTCTTGTCTCAGCCATGGGAGAAATTTTTCAGTCCAGTAAGTATAACTTCAGAGTGAAATAAAAAAAAATGAGAAACTAATCAGGGCCATGAATCAGCCTCACTGGGGAACGGGGCTATGCAGAACTCTGATCTAAATTGCTATCAGCGTTAGAAATCCAGCCCGGGGAGTTCACAGCGCTGAGCACACGCCAAGCAGGGCAGACAATTTTCTGCTGCCCTCTGCAGGGAAGCTGTGGGTCTTGTTACCCACAGCTGGACCTGCACAGGGATGAACTCACCGAAGAACCGGGTAGTTTTCAGAGGAATTTTTACAATTTACTGGTTTATTGTTACTTGAACAGTAATCTGCACTCAAATTATATTTCTAAATAGTGTATTTATAAATGCAAATCAACCCTTTTACTCGAGATGATGAGCCAGTTATTAGCATAACTGAGCAAGTTTTGATGRAAATATTAATCTGTAGATTACTCTATCATATGGGAATAAAAGACCAGACCCTCTCTGCAAACTCAACACTAGTCTTCCACCCTGCTTTGACTGCTAGGTACCAAACATAACCAGGAATTGAAAGAAAAGCAAAGAAAAGCTCTTGTCTTCCAAGCTCTTGTCCTCCCRTGCTCTCTAGGAAAATATTAAGGAAATATTACTGTGTCATTCACTTCCGCCTTCTAAATTAGTGCATGAATTATTTTGGTCTCATACACTGGATGACTGAAGAAAAAAAAAAACCAAAAATCACCCCCTTGTACTGTGCTCCAGTTCAGTCAGTGTCTAAAGCCATTAAAACTTTTTCAGATAAAAATGATTAATGAAACATGAGCATTTTGAAGACTATCATTACTCAGGTSACCAGCCACTCAATCTACTTATATRCTTCATTTGARGAAAATTTCCTTTAACTTCAGAGCAATGGTGAGAAGGATATGATTCTAGTTCCAGCTATTCTCTTAGGGACTCCGGGCACGTATTTTGTGCTCCCATCTCCTCATTTGCCACCACACAAACAGCAGAGCAGTATCAGGAGCCTTAATTCACTACTGTCTGCAGGACACAGATTATCTACTGCAATATATGTAAGCAGAGATATTTTCTTTGTCATTACACATCTGATGTTGCATGAGAATGTAATAAAGACAACTGTGGGACTGCAGGGTAATATGCCCACATACAAATTGGTCTGATGTGGAGAAATCTTTGTTGGGAGGCAGCCTTAAGCCTGGATGGAGCAGGCCCCACTATATATCAACACATATTTACAAAATGTATGTTACGTATTTGTAATTCCTTTATACTGAAATATGTAAAAATAAACACAAAACAACTCGTTCTGTACTTGCCACAGCTAATTTTGTTAAATAGCAGTATCAGAATCACAAACASACATTATAACTACATGGAAATACAACAGAGAAGCTTCAAGAAAGAGTTATTAAAGCTATCCAGACTAATCTGACAGCATCAAATGGAAAGGAAAAAAAACTACAAGTTACACAGAAACACAGGGATCAGCATGTCAAAACTGACAAAGCCTGGCAAACAAACTGAAGTTCAGAAATTAAATACTTCTCAATCAATTAGTAACATAGATTTATACAATACAAACAAAAGCTCCAGAAATGCACTGACTCCTKACACCCAGCACCTGCACTCTTGTCTCCAGGGCAAGGGTGATCAGTTTATGAACAGCTCAGAAACAGTCTAAGCAAAACTTCGGAGATGGTGTTGCATTTCTGGCCTCAGGCCCAACTCTGCAAAAAAGCCACGGGACTTGACACAGCTCAATCAGTGAAGAATATAATCCAACWCAGAAGCCAAACTTATTTCTGACCAGGGTCAACCTCAGTCATCAGCATCATCAAACTGGCCCTTCTCAACTGTTCTAACTCGTGGTGGAAAAACAACACAAGGTGTGTGGCGACACATTGGGTTGTAAAACCAATCCTCTTCCCACACATATGAGCCCAAAAGATTATTTTCCTCAAAGCTTCCACAGCAGAAATCATCAGCATCTAAAGAAGATAAAATAAAAGGTTTAAACCRTGGGAGATACTTAGAAAAGTAGTGGTATAGTGAAGTTTATTATGGAAGTCTTTATGTAGCACATTATTATGGAGACTACTTTTGTCCATGGGACTGATCATGTGCACTACCATTTAGGAGGATCAAGCTTCAAAGAGCCCAAACAACGTCAAACAAACAAAAAAAGCCACCCAAAAAAACTACAGTAAAAGCAACAAACCATACTCAGAGACTAATTCTCCGTTCCAAGAATTCCATGCTCTAGAGAGGGATTACAGTGAACAATCTTGAATTTTCTTGAAGAATTTTTACACAAAAAAAGTTACATTCCTGCACTCCATGTACCTTCCTCTTTTGCTTCAGAATAACAAAGATACACCACTGGGAACTTGCTTCACCAGAAAAACTCAATATAAACAGAATTCTCCTCTTTACCATGCCAATCCCTAAGAATTGTATTGCTCAAGCAAGAGTTTCATCTTAACTCCAACCACCACCTTTGAATTCTGTATTTGACAACAAAATTGTTCACATACCCATGAGGTCAACACAACACATTGCTTCCCAAAATAGAACATGGAGTTATTTAAACACATTCTCCTGCAAAAGGGCAGCCATCTACTATCCAAAATTCAAATGAAACACATGTAAATGTGTACTCACCATAAGGACTACGTGTAGACTCCTCCAATTCTTTATCCCAGTCCTCCGCCTCATACCCAGAAGCATCTTGCTGCCCTGGAGACTCAGAGACTTCATCCCACAAATCCATGACACCGTATGTATTGCACCAGTCATCATCAGGAGAGCCACTGACATCCCCTTCATTGGGAGAAGTAGAGGCAGATTCATGTGCTTCAGACTTGCCATCAGGAACATTGGGAATACTCTTCGGTGAGCATTCTAAACCCAACAGAAAGCACCAACAGATACACTCAGAAATTAAACCAGAACCATTAAATGCTCAGCAAACACTAATTCAGAGAGGTACACAAATGTACTTTGTGATGATTAATCTTATTAAAATATATGCCGTTTCCTATATATGTAATATCACTACAGAGCGGCTTCACATTTTACATGCTGGGGATGAGGGGACCATAACACCAGCCCAAATCAGGATTTTCCACAGACTGGTGTTGGAAAATCACTCTTTAAACTAGGGCAAAGGACCCAGCAATCTTGTTTCACCATATTCACCCACAGGTATTAAAAAATAAAATAAAATAAAATAAAAAGGTAAGTTCTGGTTTAAAAAAATTCAAGTACACCTAGGCATACACCAATAAACTACATTATTAAAGAGGCATTTCCCATATAACACCAAAAGGTTTTAAGTATAGTWCTCAAGTAAAGCACAAGTTTCAATATTCACCGTCTGCTTTGTTTKGTCCTACCTTCTGTGGGCTGCGAGCTTATAGCTTCTTCCTCATTTATAAGCTCTTTCCCCTCAGAGGTTGCGGCCTTATTGGCAACAGCCATCACCTGCGAGGCAATTTWAAATAATTAGTAACACCTGTCATTGGTCACGAAACCTCTACCATMTTTGAGTGCTCCCGAGCGCCTCCTTTTGTTCCCTTGATGAATTACAGGTTTAGAAACAAACAGGCTTTTCAGTTCTGAAGGCAAATAGAGAGGGATGGCCAAATCTGGTGCTGCCATCGGTCACCCCTGGCATTATCAAACACAGAATAGCTCAGCTCTTCACTCACCCCCCACAAACGCGGCCCAAATGTGCCCCTCTGAGATAAGCGGCAGGGGTAATGAACACAAAAGGAGTGGAAAAGGTACTAAAGCTGAATCAACCGTTCCACAAGCCGAGGAGAAAGGAGCGGGCCGGACCCTCCAGCTGCCCTGAGGGGCTGCACCAAGATGGACGGAGAGCAGAAAGAAACCCTCAGCTGCTCTGAGGGGCGCACAGGGAGAGGGAAGGCGAATTCTCCTCACGCTTCCACTGGAACGAGAAGGAACCGGCGGCGGCCGCGGTCGGTGACCGAGGGCAGGGCGCGGACTCCGGACGAGCCCTCACGGCGGCCCCGCCGCTCCCCGGGACCCCCGAACCTCCGGAGCCGAGCGCGGGCCTGGCCTGAGGGCACCACCGACAGCCCCGGGCAGTGTCAGCCGGCCGGGCTGTGCCCAAGGACTGGGTGTGACACCGGGGTCAGGGGCTGGTAAAGACTGGGGACTTGCTCCCGCTCCAAGCTCCGTGCCCGCAACGCGCCCGCCCACAGCGCCCACCGTGCACAGCCCCGGAATCACCGCACCCATTSGGCGGGAAAGACCTCCGACATCATGAGCCAACACTGCCATGCGGYGCAGACTGCACCCGGGAGAAATGCAGGCGTAAGAGCGCTGACAAAGCACATTTTCACTCATGAAGTTGTAAAGTATCAATACCTCTCAAGGCTGGGTGGAGCTTTCCCCTCGACAAAACTTAATTTCCTTCCGGCCTCGTGGTAGCAGCATGCTCAGAGCATGAGGAGACAGGAAGCACCTTGGCTGTGGTAGGTGTCGAGCCTATGTGCTCTCAGAAAATGTTTATTCCTCGAGAGAATGGAAAAGTTCTGCGAGGAACCAGAACAGCTGAAGGAAAAGGGGCCACTTTCTGAAATAGTAGAGTTACTAGCTTTGTTGGACGTTAAAAATTCCAAACTTTGTACTTAAAAGCCTTTAATTGTGCAATGGAAGAAGGAAGAAGTGATTCAGGGGAGGGACTAACAGCAGGGAAGGAGGGTGTAAGTGATAACCAGTAAGGAAATCTCTGTCAGAGAACTAGTGGGGATATAGAAGATGGCCTGGCTAAAAGCTTGGGAAACAAAAAAAAGCAAGATGTACTTCAGATCTGGTCACAGGAGCAATCTTGCCATGCTGCTGCTCCAAACTTTGTTTCCTGCTAGTTAAGTTACTGGAATTGATTGCTTGAGAGGAGCAGCAGTTTCTGAGTGCAAAATCAAGAAACATTGCCCAGTTTGTTATTTTGTCACCCTGCAATTACTGGGAAATGGCACAAAAGAACATTTGCTGCATATTCCTGTATCTTCCCTGTATTTCTGTTGGTCCAAGGGTGGCATTTATGTTGATTGCTCAGGTTTGTGTTGATTGCTCAGGTTTGTGGCTCTGTGAACAGCCAAGGACACCACTCTTTCAAAAAACATTACCCGCTTTTTAGGCATGGTGGACAAGAAGTTGAAGTGTAGATCAGAACTTTCTGCTCCCCCCTCAGGGACATTGCTAACAGATCTCAGCTTCCCTCTACCCTTCCCCGCTCTCAGGATGCARACACCAATGCAAGGGGGCTGCAGAGGCTGTTTCTTTTTTTGTTCTGAGGATTATGGATGATTGCAAGGCCAGGAAACAACAAATTCTGCATTTTTACTGATTTTTGATTGCCTGATGAAAACTGTCCAACTTTCCATTATTTAACTTCCTAAAATAAAAAGATCACCCACAGGTGTAGTTTCCAGGGGTTTAGTTTGGTTTTTTTTACATTCAGGTGCTGTAATATTAGCTTTCAAGAGTGTAAAAACAYCCTTCATGTTGCACTGGATCTAACTGAATGTTTAAGCCAGATGGAGTTTGCTCTCAGAAGTCTTTATGGAAACACCCTCAGAGATTTATTTTCTCTGACTGTGCACTTGAACCTGCCCCTGGCAGAATCAACACTAGAAATGACTGCAACGGAGATGATTTTTTTTGTCACATAAAATGTGAAGAAGGTAAATTTTAATAAAATCCAGGAATATATTTACCTTTGTACAAAGAATTTAAAAAATGCAGAGTTATGTTCTAATTATGTATAGTTTTTCATAAATGTCCAGTTTGCAATAAAGTGTATTTAGAAATAAAATCTTCCACCAGGTCTCCCTGCAACATCTTCATAGCTCGCCAGTGAATGCTCCCACAGTTTTCTGGTTTGCCTTGGGGATGATTTAGCTCCTCCTTGATATAATCCAGCCAGAGGTCTTTAAAATAAAAATGGAAGTTATGGTTAGATTTTGGTTAGGTATTACTTAACAAACATACAAGCCTAACTAGAAATTCTCTTGTTAATGGAGCAAGGTTTACTTTGTGAAATCTGATGTGAGGAGCAAAACCCTAGGTTCTGTTCCCAGCTGGAACAGTGATGTCTTCAGAAATAATGCAACAGTAATTGTACTTTCTTGAAGGGAATATTTCAGAAATCTGGATTATAAATATATAGCTCCATACTGTTCATAAATCCAAATTAAAAGTGATACACATCTCTTAGGCCAGCCAGTGTCAGAACCTGAYTTGCTCCCAGTTGTGCTGAAGCCATTCCACTGCCAATGACCCTGGGCTGAMAGGGGAGGGTCCCTGCAGTGTCCTGCACTTAATGGCACAGAAGAAATAAGCTCCACTCTGCATGACAGCAAGCACAAGGGCAGAACAAACAGCTACCTTTTGAAATGGATGGAAATAAAAGAGGCAGCACTGAATGAATGAATAAATAAAAAAAATTACTGGAATCCCCTTACCAGTATTTGTTGAACCAAATTCCCTCAAGGCACGTTCATAGTATTCTCTCAGATGAAGCATTTTGCAGGATTCCTAACAAAGGAAGGTATTAAAAGGCCATTTATTTTGTACAGAAGTGAATCTGCAGCGTGATTAGATTCTGACAAAGGAAGAGAGTCATGGCAATTACATGCACACACTGCTGAAGATTAGTTACCATGGAACTTGGGTTTGTATCACATCCTGTGAATCAACTRCAGAGGACAAACATGAACTGATCAGACTAACACCACTATTCTGTTTCCTTCCTATTTAAATYCCGAGTTAGAACTGTATTTTACAAATACAAGGCACTACTTGGATAGTCAACAACTTACTTGCTCCTTTTCTATTTGGATCATTTTCCTGAAGAAGTCCAGTGAAAATGGACGATTTTCACACAGGCTGAAATAAAATAGGTAATTTTAAATTTCAGGATTTTTAACACATACCCTAGAACAATCAGGTTTGAAGGYTTTGTTACCTGGTAAAGAGTTTTTTAACTTTCTTGTAACCACCRTTTCTGTAAGTCCAGTCAAGATACATTTCTTTCATAGTCACAGATTCAGCAGGAGTTGTGGCATGTAAGGATCTCTGCAAGTTTAAAAGGGAAAAAAATCCAAAACAAAAAATGAACCCATCACATAACCTACAATTAAATGGTCCAATAAATGCTTCTCCCCAGTCAAGCATTTGACAACAAGATCTCCTAGGTCTAAAATACTTTTCTCCTATGATATACCATATAGCTGGAACTGGCACTTCCATAAAATCCTCCATGCAGAGGATTTCACAATGCTTTACAAACACCTGGATTCAACCTTCTACCTGAAATAYGTGTTTTATGTTGTAAATGGGAGGRAAAAAACACAACACAACATGCCAGGCAAACAGRAAATGTTTTGCCCTATGCTGTTGAGGAAATTCATAGCGAGATTGAAGTCCCYATTCTGATCTTGAGTTTTCTGTAACAAGACTGATATTTTCACACAGATAGGAAAATTCTCTTTTCCATGTTCAGATAGCTRTCTGAAAACAGAGCAAAAATTCTAGACCAGAAAGTAGGAGTCCATCATTTGTGCTTACAAATATCCATATGCCTTAGAAGTACTGGGAATGACATTTGTGCCTGTAAGTCTATGTCCAAATGGTTTTGACACAATTTTAAGTTTTTAAGTTTTGCTTAAAATTCGTTGATATCAACACCTCCACAAAGGAATTGCAGTGTAAAGCATTTGTTGCATGTTCCATGAACACACATTGTTCCATTTTATTTACACAGACATAAAAGCAGATTTTGATTAGCCAAGTACCTGGTAAAGAGCTTCTGTGTCTTCCTTGCTGTTTGTSCCCTCACTCCATTCCACCCAGAGGGTCCACAATGGCAAAGTGCCCTGCAAGGTCAGCAAACACATCAAATGGTTGAAATACAGTGACTGATTTACAGAAAGCAGCACAACCATCAGGTTTCCTGCCACAAAAAATACCCTTTGGACACAGCTCTTGCAAAGACAGCTTTGAACTGCATACTGAAATCACTTCTCATTTCACTTCTCACTTACAGGACAAATTATCCTTAGCTGGACAGYTGTGTTGCCAAGGATGAGAAGTAAGTTCTGCATCACTGAGCACTGCAGTGCACAAAGGTGACTTCCAAGAAGAAGGAAAGGAACAGACATCATCCTGTTTCCTCCCTCCTTGTGCCAAGGGTTTGAAATGGAAAGGAGTAGGAGAGCACACAGCTAATTCAAGGCTTGAAATACCACAAAGGCAAATGGTGTATTGSGACAGTGAAGAAAGGGAAACCCATTTTTCAGTTGAGACACAAATATCAGCAGAAAAATATGCAGAATGTCACCTGTAAGCATTCAGACTTTAAACGTGCAAATTTTAAGTGAATTTACAATTCCCTAATACTTGGTAATTCAATTTGCATGTGAAATGTCAAGTCCTTATTTTTGACCTTAAAAATATTAGGGACTTGAAATGCCCTCTAAAAACAAACAAAAAAAAAAACCAAAAGAACCAAGCATCAGAAGCTTCTGRCCCAAGATGAAAGCATGCACAAACCTTAGA